CCGACTAACTAGACCAACCCGGACGACTTGGGTTGAGTTTGGTTGCACTTTGGTTTGAGTTGGGTTGAGTTAAGATTTTCAAACCGCAAGTATTAGGTTGGATTGTTCAAATGTCGTCAATCCGATCAATTCAATCCATGAGCACCCCTATTTGCGAGCAATCGGGTCAAATTTCAGAGGGAGAGAGCATCTCCTGCAAGGTAGGTCTCTAAGGAGTGAAGGGTGTAAGATGATTGGAGATGCAACAAGTAGAAGTACAGAGCTCCATTGTTGTTAAACGTTTTAGGGGTTTTAGGGGTTTTAGATCGTTCGAGTAGGGTTCTGTATTATGCAAGAGATGTTGCTCGGTATTCAGCTTATAATAAACAAATTAATTTAAATTTTTCTATAAATAATTGTTACTATACAAGATTAATTATGATTTATGAATCCCTCTCTTATTAAAAAAAATTATTTTATCATAAAACATTTTTAGATATTAAAAAATTGTAAGAGCATCTCTCTCTCTCTCTCTCTCTATATATATATATATATGGAGATTACATTCTATTTTACAAATTAAATCATATTATTAAAATATTTTTCCTCTCATGAATTTTTAACATCAAAGGCTTCTGAATAAAGGATATCTGGTCTAGTGGTGTTATAGTCTTTGGCCTTCTAAAAAGTTAAGAATAAATATATGAGCTTATTTGTTATATTTGTCATATATAGAAACATCAAGGCTTCTGAATATGATAAAAGTTTATTTCTCTTTCATGATCACAATTTTTTGAGTTTTTCAAATTTATAGAGTTCCACTTTCTCATGATTTATTTATTTTAAAGAATTTGTTAATTATACTCTCACATAACATTGTTGGTAAGCATTTCTTATCAGATAAACCAAACAGAATAAGATTCACCATCCTACCTTACTGGGTAAGATTCTTAGTTCTTGTCATATTTATCGAAAGGTAAATAAGGGTCAATATATAAACCCTTACATTAGCATTTGTTAAACAACCCCTTAATTCCAACAATCACAACATTTGTACATAAAACTGTATTCTTACAAATGCATATTTATAATTATGACATGGTTGTAACATATTTTTCATACCGAAGTTACGTACACGTATCATATTTCATAAAACTGATTGAAAACATGTATATATTGTGTGTGTATAGTTTTTCATGCCGAATTTACCTTGATATCGGTTTAATGACTTGGCTGAAACAAGAACCCAAAACTACCATTAGCTTCTTTCTCTTGGTTGATATTATATATATATATATATATATATATATATATATGTATATATATCAAAGGTTTTTCGTGAGACCCGTAAGACCAATTTATGTTCATTGATTAAATTTATAAACTAATAATCTAATGATCTAAATTTGCAAAGTGGTAATTTTGTAATTATTGAGAAGTCTCGTGGCGTTTATAAATGTTCAGATCTGACGATTGTAAATCTAATTCAAGAGTTGAGAATTGGTCTTACGGGTCTCACGAAAAACCATTGATCTCAAGTCTATATATATATAGGGAAGGGTTCAAACGAGAACCCCTGTGATTTACGAGAATGCGAGAACAACCCAATAACCTCTTGTGATAAAAAAATAAAATTAAAAGATTTTTAAAATTAGAATTGAAATTTAAAAAGATTCAAAAATATTAAAAATAAAAGGATAATAATGGAAATGATATCATAAAATCTTTTAACACGATTACACACGATCATGATTATCATTATCTAATAAACGGTTAATCATGTAATATGGATGTGATAATCATGTGATTATCACATTATCGCTTATATCAACACGATTTGGGTGTGATATAGGTGTGATAATCATGTGATATGGGTGTGATAATCATNATTAATATAAAATTTTTTGTCAAAGATATTATTATAAATGATGAGAAATAAATTTTTACATGTTAAAAAACAAATAAGTTAATAAGCAATACTAAATAATGCCTTTTTTAGTCATTTTATATGTATAAACAAAATTTGCCAAACATTGAAAAATAACTTATCGGCTTATTGTGTTTTGGTATCGCCATAAACTAATCTAAACATTTTTTATAAAACTCTGATCTAACACTACATAAGTTAATAAACACTTTTATAAAAATACATAAATTTGTTTTAAATAAGCAATCCTAAACACCCTAACTACGCCACAGATGGCCTACTCGGTGATGGTCTACGTCAAAGACTAGGGGGCCGTTTGTTTGGCTCTTAATGGTTACATTAAGAGGAAACGGTAAGAGGCGGAGACTGTTTGGCAAAAAAAATGAACCTCTTAATGGTTACAAAAGCCTCTTAATCATTTTGTGTCTAAGGCTCCACTAAATGGTTTAGATCTAACTTGTTCCAAGTTTGCCCTTCCCACCCCTCTCTTCTAGCCGCTCTCTTCACAATCTCCATCTCCTTCCTAAATCCCACGGTCTCCTTCATACGTCGGCTTCCATGATCTCCATCGTTCCTCCTCTACCGTCTCCATCGCCGGTCATCTCTTGTCATCCTCGCTGCGGTATTTCCCTTAATCGATAACTCCATCTCAGCATCTCTACATCGTCTCCATCTTCTGTTCCACACACTTTCAGGTATTTCCTCTTCTCCATCTTCTGTTTGCATCTTCTGTCGATTAAACAAAGAATATGAAGTACAATAATGAAATAAAAGATTATGCTAGAGGGAATGCAACAAGGGAGCAGGAAAAAACTGAGTTAAGAGACCAGTTGCTTGTGTGATTTGCTGGAAAAACGAGGCAATGGCTATGTGATTTACAAACCCTTATAAGTTATAAAAATTCTAAGGCAGTGGCTGTGTATGGAGTGGCTTAAAAGTTAAACATATTTATATAGAAAATATCATAGTGATAAAACCTTAAGGACATATGGAAAAATGTGTTGGTCAAAAATGGTGGTCTTTTTGTTGTTTTCTTTTTTTTTTAGTTTTTTAAGGAGTTTGGTAGTCAATTCTTGGATTTCCTTCAACAAAGTGAAGAAAGTTGTTTATTGTTTATCTAGTTGGTAAACTGTTTATTGATTATTTAGTTGGAAACTGTTTATTACTTATTAGTTTATGATTTGATAGAAGGCTTATGGTTGGTAAACTTTATGTGAAATACCTTATGTTTGTTTGGATTAATATGAAATATGTAGTTATAGTTACAAAGTAATTGTTTTATTCAGATATCTGTCAAACAACTATATTTCATTCAATATTAAATTATACAGAGGATTAAAATGGTAATTTGTTGTCATTCAGAAAACATATACCAAACAACCATATTTCATTCGGCACTTAACCATTCTGACCATTTAACCATTTTGCACCAAACAACCCCTTATTCGTGTTATTTATACATGACTGTTTAGTAGTGGCTTAATTAAATAGAAAATGACTTATTTGTTAAGTTTTCAAGTGAGCTTTATGTAGAAACCCAAGTTTTTTTTTCCTATTTGCCCCTTTTAATTTAAAAACATGACTTATCATCTACGCAAATAAAAAAAAACTCTTTTAAACAAAAACTTTTTCAATCTATATTAATTCATGCAGACAACTTTACGCATATAAGATTTATGAAAACTAACCAAACAACTCCTAAGGAGTGTAGTGATTAGGCGAAGAAGATGAATTGGAGGAGCTTTATGGATGCAGAAAGAGATGATCTTACACTTGTCGAAGACTTTTTTTTGCTATAGCTGGGTTGGGATGAGGAAGGAGGGGGAGGGGAACAGTTCTTGGAGAAGGTAAAAGGTGGAAGGAACTGTTGTCTCATAGTTTCAATAAGATGCAGCCTCTTAATCACTAAGAGTTGAATCTTGTTTGTCATATAAAATGTTTGTCTCTTAATGGTTTTAAAACCGTCTGAATGATTTTGTATCTTGAGTCACATTAAACCATTCAGCACCCTAATTTCATTCTGAATAATTAGCAAACAACCATATTTTATTTTCCACGATATTATAAGAGTCTCTTAATCATTTTAACCACTTAATCATTCTGCATCAAACCATTCAGACAATTGCCAAACAGCATGGGAAGGGGGAGGGTAAATATGAAAAAAGATCAAGTGGGTGGGCGGAGGAGGGTTACTTTAGGGGTTTTTTTTCTTTTCTGAAATGCTTCAATATCTTGCTTTTTTAACTTGTATAAAGAAGTACTTAAAAAATGGAATATGACCAAAATGCCTTTAACCTAATAGACAGTTAACAGAAACTCTTAATCACTGTTAAACCCAAGATCCAAATTAACCAAGACGAAATGCAAATCAAATGCAATAAGTGTAATTATGAAAGTCAACAAATGAAAACTATAGTTCTGATAAACCACATGATGGTGTTTGTAATTTACCCATGCTCATAGCCTCAAGCGATCACAACCACATTTGGTCCAATATGATTTTACATACTTTTTGAATGTGAAAACCGAAATAACGAAAATTCAAATTTTAGCCCAAACCGGCAACCGAACAAAACAAACAAACTGTGTTTCATTAATTTAGCCTGCTTTGTTTCTAAAATTGTCAAAGACAAACTTACTGATTTGATGAATATGTTGTGTCTTAAAACCAACCAAAACCAAGTATATCGATAAGCTTTGATGCTACCCCATCTATGTTATTTGATAAATATTTAAACAAAAATATAAGTCGAAATTGGATTTTTATTTTTTTATTTCCTTTTTTTTCCTGGTTAATCATAGGTGTCTATAACAGCTTGTGTACACCACTAATCTTGTGGGTCCTGGACAATGGTCAGGAAATTCCCCAAGTTTTCTTGTTGGACTCGAACCGGTGACCTATGAAGATCCCTAAAGACCCAAGTCTTCTTGTCAGCTGAGCTAACAAGGTTTTGTTATTTGATTACTTGCACAAATCAAACTTTGTTCGTAAGGAAAAAAATTTCAAGAAACATAGAATTGTATAAATCTGTATATGTATGCCACAAGGAAATATGTATATTGAGGATATTGGTATTAGAGTACCGCATTGGTTAAACTTGGACACTTTCTCTTTCATATATTGTTGAAAAACCCCTTTCTCTTATCAATGACTCTTTTAAAGAGTAATTTAATGAGGTTCTAGATAATTCTAACACCTAGAAACAAGCATCTTGTTATATATATGGGTTTCATATCGAAATCCTACTTATTCCAATATATATATTAGAAATAAATACCCAACATGTCGTAGAAACATCATATTTTAGAGGCGACAGCAACCTTTGATCCCGATGGACGGCCCAAATAATTGCAAATGAAGTCACCTGTTTGCAAGAGCTTTTGCAGATCAACGTTGGTTTTGATACCAAGCCCGTTAAGCATGTACACCACATCTTCGGTGGCAACATTCCCCGAAGCTCCCTTAGCATACGGGCATCCTCCTAATCCCGCTACTGATGCATCAACTACACTTATTCCCATCTGTCATCAATTAAAAACTGTTAAAACATTGCTTATTCTGTCTCACCTGAGTATAGATGCACAAAAAAGCCGAAGCCCGGCTTAAAAAGCATGATGAGGCAAACCATTTTTTCAAGGCCATGTTAAAAGGGCCATTTTCACACCCAAAGCCTGTGGTGATCTTTGATTTTTCCTCTACTAAGGAGTATGGAGTTAGCTTACTTGGAGGGATACTAAGATGTTGGGAAGAGATTGGCCATAAGTGTCATGAAAGTGAACTGCAAGCTTTTCAATGGGGACAACTTCCATGACTGCTTCAAGCATAGGAATTACGGTTCCTACGCAGAAAGGGATGAAAGTTAGGGCAGAGATTATACAAGTTCAAAGAGTAGTGAAACAATTACAGAATTGTGAGATATCATATCATATCACTCTACCAAAAGAGCTCCTTAAAGAGAACCAATCTGATATAAGAAAATCAGAATAATGTAGTGTAGCCGATAGGAAAATGAACAACGTTACCTGGTGTACCGATTCCGGTTGTATCACCAAGCGAAATTTCACAACAACCCATGTCGTAAAGTTGTTTCGCAACATATGCAACTTTTGATGGACTAATTGAACCTTCAACTGGGCACCCAATCACACATGATACATACCTGCTTCATATCAAACATCATTACTCCATCATTTATCTACATATAATGGGGTTATTTAGTTGGAAGTCATTTTTACAAACTAATCTTCTAGTGTTTTCCATGATTTTACACACTAGAGGTTGATCATTTGTAGGTTATTGAGTTAATTTATTTAAGTAGTCATGCTTCTAATTGAAAATGGTCATTTAACCAAGTGACCCACATAATAGGAGCAAGAACAAAAGGAATCGAGTACATACCCACGAACAGGTATTGAGAGCTTTGTTGAAGCATGAATAACATCACGGTAACGTGCAAGACTTTGTTCTATAGTGCAATTAATGTTTGCCTTTGAAAAAGACTCAGAAGCTGAAGCAAAAACCGCTATTTCCTTTGCTCCGGCTGCAACAGCAGCTTCAAAACCCTGCTCCGAACCAACAATATTAGAAGTTATTTATAATATTCCATCTCTATTATTAATATAGATGGAAGAACATTACACACTTTTAAGTTTGGTGTCAATACAGGCAATCTTCCAGCTTCCAAGTTTTTAACTGCTTCAACAACTTCCTTTGCATCTGCCAGCTTTATAATACCATATTTGTAATTAGATACAAATAGTAATAATACATACATGAACCTTTATAAGAGATAAGCTACCTGAGGCACCCATTTAGGTGAAACAAAGCTTGTGGCCTCAACAACAGATAAACCAGCAGAAAGAAGCCTATGAATTAATTCTATCTTCACTGAAGTAGATACCAAATTCTTCTCATTCTGTAAACCATCCCTTGGACCAACTTCCACTATCTTCACATACTTCGGCATGCCTTTAAAAATCTGAACCGTATACAGGAAGATTAGCAGATATAACTTTCATTTAAATGAAACTCCATGATCCTTTATGGGAAATGGGTAAGTTTTGACATTTAAAGTAAGACATTGTACTTTTTCAAAACATTAAACTAAACCAAACCAAACCAAATGAGTCTGGTATATCCCACCTAGAGGTGGGAGCTGGGGGTGGGATGTATGCTGACTTGTACTCTACCTAATGAGTAGTGCTGCTGTTTTCGTGTGAACTTGAAAATGTTAAACCAAACAAGTCAAGTATATCCCACCCGGAGGTACGCTGACCTAACCTCTATGCAGTTGTTTTCATGAAGAGCCCCAACTTGTGAAAAGTGTCCTTTCGAAATGTACACTTTATATTCATAAGTGTAACAACTTAGGTCAAAGAAAAAATTAATCACCTTCTTTGTTATGTCCCTTGGGCGTGCATCATTGCAGTAGGAGCTATGCTGAAGGTTTGCTATATGTTGTGAACGACAGCGGTTTCCATGTACTTCAAAGTTCCTTCCTTTGCTTTCCCACACAATATCATTCTCTCTTGTATGATGTCTCCAACTGAAAGCTCCTTGCCTGTATTCTTTTAGCTCTTCCCTAAGAATGTGAGCAAGTTGGCATCAGCTACTGATTGCAGATGCATGAAAAGTTACTACCAGAAAAAAGAAAAAGAACGTGCGTTTTGAAGCTTGAAGGCAAAACGATTACATTTTCAACTTGCTTAGCTGAATTATTCCGAGTACATGCTATAAAGATAAATGTGATTATAGTGTTGTTATTTTAGAAAAAGCCTGTTTCATCTTAAATAGAAAATTGAACCAAAAAGCAGAAAAAGAGTTGTAGAAATGACACACACTCATAGCTATTGGATGATCCACATTCAATCCAGCAGTTTCCCAAACCGGTCTCCTGATCTCCGCTGGTGCTGCAACGCTTGGATGAGGACCTTCGAGAAAGATGGATGGTGCTTAGGCTTGGCAATTTGTCCAAAACAAGGGGCTCCTCCAAACTCGACATCTCAACTGTAAAAGAAGCATGATAGAAACAAGTCCTCTGAAAAAACTTGTAGCCAGGATGGATCATCTACTTCACCCCAAAATAGACTAAGAAATTAACACAACATTCAGGCACATGAATCTTGGTAGAAAATGAGCATTTTGAGCATTCAACTTCAACTCCCACTCTAAATTACTTTATGGTAGCTCAATTGATCAGACCCTAGTTTTTTCCCATTGGTCACCGTAAGAACATGTGGAATCCCATGAGAATACTCTTCAAAAAAGCCCTCGATGAGTGAAGGGAGTTCCAACATATATGAAGAAGAAATGGTCCAAGTGTAAGCTGATGTGGCATACTAAAAGTCACTAGTTCGAGTCACCTTAGGCCATTGAAGGGTTTTTTTGCAGGTAAGCTTACCCAAACACCCACACGGTTATAAAAAACAAATAGAATTATGTTGACCTAATATCCCCAATGAACCTCCCCGTCTCCCCACCTTAAAACACACACAGCAAACAACACAAATTGAGTACGCACTTTTAGTAGAAGCAAGTAAAACACACACACAACAAACACAGTAACTTTATAGAATTTCAGAAAATAGAACAAAACTTCAAGTCTGTACACAAACAAGCAGGAAATCAGAAAGCCAATAAGCAAGGATTCATGATATTAAGACATAAATCAACATTGTTTGTAAACTCATGAACTGAGCCTGTCAAATAGCAACTAATTCTTAATCCCAATCACACAGATCTAGAATTCGACTTCACCAACTCCAAGCAAACAATAAATCCGATTATCAAAATACGATTGAAGAAGAAAACCGCATCTGACATTTGATTGTAAGTAAAGACGAAGGGGAAACAAAGCTGATGATCTTGTTGTTGTCGAAATTATGGGTTGTATAAGTCAAAAAATCAGTAAACAAATACGATAATTCAGAGAAGATGTTGTTGGAATCATACCTAAATTTTTTTATGCTGCAAGAAAGCTTCAATCACCAGAAATGGAAGGTAGTTTTCGGTTGGAAGTTGGTCAATTTCCTCCCTTCGATTCTCAACTCCCTTCCTTTTTATATTTTTATTTTCAATTTTTGTGTCGACCAAATTCTTTTATTTATTTATGAAATCGATAGCTATATTCAATTTTTTAAATTGTTTTTTATTTTGTTTTATAAAATAAATGAGGGTTTTTATTTTTTATTTTGTGTTATTAATATGTATGTTACGTATTTGATTATTGATAAAAGCAATTCATTGAATCCGATGCTCAATATTTCTTTAACCTTAACGGTATTTAATTTGATCGTAAGCTAAACAAAAAATATGTAATTAATTTAATTGTAGGAGTAGATCTTTAAGAGCATCTGTTTTCAAAAATTTCTTTAAAATATAAAACTAAAAGTTAAAATCTCAAAAAAAAAAGAAAAATTACATTTATCTCCGATAGATTCTCTATTTTAGAGAATCCAACATTGTTTATAATATTAAAATATTATTCCTCTCTCTAATGCTATGTATGGCAAACTAACTAATAAATTAACTGATGACTGATAAGCTATTTCATGAACAAATTATATTTGATAAAACTAGCTGATAAGAATGTGAAATGAGCAAAAACAACATCTTGAAAAATTAATCAACTATAATAGTTCAAAATAATATAATATATTAATTAATACAAACATTATCAATAATATAATATCTATATTATATTATATTATAAAAATTTGATAAAAACTCTTAAAAACCATTTTTATACACAAAGTACTGTTTATTAATGCATATTACTTGTAATTGAATATTACAAGTAAATTATACGTAAATACAACTTATTAAAGTTTCATTTTTAAATTCGTGTAACTTACTGTAGATAAATATAATCAAATATAAAATAAACATCTCATTTTAAATATAATTAGAATAATAATTGAGTTCTAACGGAATACTTAATTATTATCTTTATAAAAAATATATTATTAAACCTAAATTAAATTACTTTGTTATGTTAAATTAAATTATAATAAAATATTTGAATTAAAGAAATTACACAAAACAAGAACTTTTAAATAGTCAATTTAATACTAATATCGATATATTTTTTCAAAATTTTATAATATTTTCAAATTTATATTTTATTTAAAAATAAAAACATTATCGCTTTTTTAAAACCACATAAAACCATATTATATAAACATAGATAAAAAATAAAAAAACATTGAAATTGAAATAAGTGTCAATACGTTGCACGAGTACTTTTTTTCTAGTATTAACTAATACAACAATATGGTAAAAAGAATTAAAAAAATATCATATATTTATTGTAAGAAATTCAAGTTTATTATTTTATATTATAATATTTGAATTTGTTAAAACAAATTTTTAGAAAAA